TGTATCTGTTTCTGTTCTAGAGCCTCTAATCATGTCTCTCACTCTGCTCACCATCTCTGTAGTTATCTGGGAGATTCAGAGTGAAAGATCTTAATCGCTGTACTCTGCAGCTGTTACTATCCTCTGCTGACTGGTTGGACCCGCACTCGGGCGATGAGCTGAGGTGTCGGTTCACGTGGATGGGAAGGGGAGAAATCAGTTCAGACACCAGGGGGCAGCACAGGCCTAGTTTTGGCCCTTCAGCCCGCTCAGGGCGGAGAGAGAGGAGGGGAGAAAACTCCCGCAGCCTCCTCCGACACCGCCCTTTGCACACACCCGACTCGGGTTTGGAGGATTACAAATCCCCTAAGGTCCCTGGCTCTTCCCAAACTCCTACCGTAGCTAAAACTGAATGCAGAACACTCCACGAGTTAGGATGGTGACTCAGCAAGTCGCGTGTGGGGTGTGTGTGTGTGTGTGTGTGTGTGTGTGTGTGTGTGTGTGTGTAGTAGCTGGGGAAGTTGTGCTTGTGTTTGTCTCTGGGTGTGTCTCAATATTTACCCCAGATACGGTAGGAACTTCGCCAAGGCTGCGCAGCAGATTCGTGTTCAAACTTGTCCATTGGAGATCGGCAGGCAGCACTCCTGCTGGTGCTGGCTACCACTGAGGTCTGAGGAGTGGTACCCTGTGAGGAGCGGGCAAAGATGGTCTTGGGTCAAGGACCCTTGGAGGCTTCCATAATTATGAGCTGAGGGCTCCCCTCCCCCACCTGCTCCAAGCGGCTGTCACATTAGTCACGCGACCTCTAAGGCGTTCCCGCCGAGAAGGGAGGGGAATTTAGGAGTTCAGACAGCCTCGAGCTTCAAGGCTGCTTTTCAGGGTCCTCCACTGGAGGGAGCGCAGAGCCCACAGGGATTTGCTTTTCCGGATGTCCCAGAGAGCACGGTCCCTCGTGGCCCCAAACCCCTGAGAAAGTTTGAGTGTGGAAGCCAGGCAGTTTGTTGTGGCACGTCTGTGCTTGATGTGAGCAAAAGTTGACTGCTCTATTGAGGGGGATACACTAAGTGGGGATCATCTTCCTGTCCATCCTGGCTTCAAGGCTGGGAGCCCCAGCCCTGCAACCCCCTTCAAGATGTGATTCCCCACCCAGCGCAGGAAGCACACATGTTCACCCCACTTTCTTCCTCTTCCTCCTCCAGCCCACTTTCTCTTCTCTGTGTCGTCAGAGCTCCAGGGAGGGACCTGGGTAGAAGAGAAGCCGGAAACAGCAGGCTGGGCAGCCACTGCTTGCACTGGAGAGGAAGGCCAGGAGAGGATTGTGTGTGTGTGAGTGTGTGTGTGGTGGTTTTTTTGTTTGTTTTACTTTTTGGTGGTGGTGGTAGAGGGGAGTGCTAGCAGGCCAGCCCTGAACTCACTGGACAGAGCCAGGCAGTGGCCGTGAGAGAGGGAGAAGACCGCAGAGGGGTGCTGAGGTGAGGGGATGGGGGGGATGGGCTGAGTGTGGGGGGATGGGTTAGCGGGACCTCTGGGGTCCTCCCTGGGCGGGGTGGATGGTCCTCTAGACTTGTTTCAGCTAGTGTTGATAGCTAGTGGCACAGCGGGGGTTTTTGGCAGTTTCCCACCCTTAGAGAAATTAGGAGTGGGTACAGGCCTCTGCATTCCCCTCCACTGTGGGTCACTTTCTTCACCTCCCACCTCTGGGGCACGGGAAGTTGGGGGGTGGACGGGAGGGAGGGTCCCTCTATGTGTTTGGGGAGTGGCTACCTCTCCTCAGACGGTCGATGCCAGGGGCCAGTGGGCCCTCGTCAGACTCCTCTTCTGCCTCCCGCTAAAAGTTTCTGTTCAAGGGTGTGGCCGGAGGGGAGGGGGACGAGCCAGCCCTAGTAGACCTCATGGTGCCCCAGAGGAGGGGGAATTTCCCCCTCAAAGCTGCTGCACGCTTGGCTGCCATAGACGCTGAGATTTCCCAGTGGGCGGGCGGCTGGGCTGCGTGGGATTAACCCTCCTTTTGCTGACCTGGCTCCTTGCTCCCGCCGCCATCGCCACATACACACATTGGGCAACTCAGACAAGCTTTTTCGACTTTCGATCCTGTGGTCCCACAGGCAAAGGACTCGGGACTATAGGGGTGGAGGTGATGGGCTTTAGGCCCACAAGCTAGTGAATGAGGATCTTGGGCTTCGGGCTTCCCCTCCGGATTTGAGAACGCTGGTCCCGCCCCCTTGCACCGTGACCGGTCTGAAAGCGAAAGGTCCCCTTGTCCTGGCCAGATAAATCAACCCAGCTTATTATAGAGTAGGAGTAGGGAGAAATGTGGCCTCTTGATATCTGGAGAGAGAGGAGAGTTGGAAATTTGAAGCTAAGCTATGCCAGGAAGCTGTTCACTCAACAAGGTAATGTAGAGGAAGTGGGGCTGCCTGTGTCTTGGGGGGCTCCCCAATCCCCAGTAGAGTTGGGGGTCAGGGATCTGGAATATGATCATCCTGGAGATGGGAGAAAAAGAGAAGAGAGGAATGAAGTACTCCCTTGAAATTGAAATACAGATTAAACGGAGCTCCAAAAGGTGCCCCACCCCAAGCAGCTGGAGGATGATGGTTAGAGAAAGACCTGCTTGAGGATCCTGAGCAGGAAGGGGAAGGGTTCTTTCTGCCTTGGGGAGAAAAGAGCTCAGGGAAGTTGGGATTGGGGAGAGGAGGAAGAAGGTCTTGGAGTGGGAATGTTTAGATAAGGGGCCTCTGTTTTCCATCTCTTTGGGACCCCTGGGAGAAGTAAGAACCTCAAAGTGCAATAGGAGGACTTGGAATTCCTGGGCTGGGGGAGATCCAGGGAGTTTCCATCCCATCCTCACCCTTGTCTCTGGGAGAGGGACCCCTGGGAATCTATTGATTTACCCAGCCCAACTTGCAGCCGTTCACCTCCAAAATGGGGAGCAAATCTCTCTCCTGCTTCTTCATCTCTTCCTTTCCTCCTTCCTGCTTTGCTTCTCTCCTTTTGGCCTTCTATCACTTTAGCATTCTTGATCCCTCCTCTCAGCTCCTCAATGCCAGGTTGACTAATCTGTTTCTCTGGTTTCCTTCCATCTTCCTTCCATCCCCCTCTTCCTTCCATCCCCCTACTTTACTTTTTTCTCCATCTCCTTGCAGCCTCCCCCTTTTAGGGTTATGGGATTTGGAACTGGAAGGGATGCGATGTGGAGGTTAATCCCTACTCAGATTCAGAGCCTGATTTTTCCAACTCATTTGCCAAGTGGCCTTGGGCAAGTTAGGGAACTTTCCTTGAGCCAGGGGTTTCTTCATCTATAAAAGGGAACAATGATATACTTTAAAAAATGGTTGTGAGGGTCTGGGGATGTAGCTCAGTGGTAAACCACTTGGCTAGCATGCGCAAGGCCCTAGGTTTAATCCCCAGTACTGGAAGAAAATTGTGAGATTCCAATAAAATAACATACAGAATATAATACTTCCTACAGAGTAAGTGCAAAATAAATAGTAATTATTATCACTCTTCCATTTTCTTCATCATATAGCATGGTGGTTTTTCAACCACTTTATGGACCATAGAATTTTGGGAGGTTCTTCAGGGGACAGCTTTGGGATCAGGAGTTGGAGAGAGGGGAAGTAGACACAGTGGAGTTCTAGGGCTTTCACACTTGGCTTCAGCATACTCCAGTTTTACATCTTTTTTTGGGGGGGGGGGTGTTGGGAATTGAATCCAGTAAGGGGCTTCCACATGAGTTACATCTCCAGGCCTATTTTTTTTAAAAAACAGGATCTGGCTAAGTTTCTGAGTTGCCTGGGTGGGGCTTGAATTTATGATGCTTCTGCCTCGGCCACCCAGAGTGCTGAGATTAAAAGTGTGCACCACCATACCCAGCTAGTTTTATGCTTTTTATGTACAGCAGTCCCCTCTTACCCATGGTTTTTACTTTCCTCAGTTTCAGTTGTCTTCAGTAAGCCACACTATGAAAATATTAAATGGAAAATACCAGAAATAAACAATTCTGAAGTTATAAGTAACTTTTATTACAGTAGTCTTGTAATTGCTCTATTTTATGACGAGTTATTGTTATTAATTTTGTCTTGTACCTAATTTATAGGTGAAATTTTATGATAGGCACCTGTGAATAGGAAAAAGCAAGCTGGGCATGGTTTCACATGCTTGGAACCCAGCACTCCGGGAGGCTAAGGCAGAGGATGGCAAGTTTGGACCTACCCTGGGCAACTTGGTCACTTAGCAAGTCCCTATCTCAAAAATAAAAAATAAAATAGAGCTGGGGATGTAATCCAATGCAAAGGCTCTGGGTTTGATCACCAGTACTGCAAAAAACCAAAACAAAACAAAACACATAGTACATACATGGCTTGATGGTATCTGCTGTTTCTGGTCCTATCAGCAATTTTAAGTATTTATACAATGTCTTAGCATGTATCCCACCCAGGAGAGGGAGGACTACTATATTGGGATTCCACAGATTAAAAACTAAAATTGTCTGCTGCTTTAAAAAGTTGGGAAAGCTCTCCACTCATTCAGCTCTCCTATTTTATGAATGAGAAGATCAAAGCCCATAGAATGGAGGCTCTTTGCCTATAGAACCTGTGCCATTTCTAAAACTCCCCTATTCTTTCCCTACTGCACTGTGTCCCTTGTCACACTACCCCTCTGGCTACTGCTCAGTGCTTCTCACCCCCATTTCCCATATCCACTTACTATTAAAGATGTTATCTTGTCTTAGACATTGACCAAAGGTCCCAGTGGCTTGAGTTGGCCTGGCTGTGTTGATGGGGAGGTCTGTGGGAGGGCCATCTAGATGTCTGGAGATGCCCCAGAAGCTAAGCCAAGTTTCGTGGGTGCCTCTTTTTTGTTTGTTTGTTTGTTTGAGACAGGCTCTTGCTATGTAGTTCAGGCTGGCCTTGAACGTGCCAAGATCCTCCTGCCTCAGCCTTCTGTGTGGTGGGATTACAGGCATGTGCCACCACACCCACCCTGGTGCCTCTTAAAATGGCCTTGTTCCTCTTTTCCAGGCACCCTCCAAACCCCAGATCATGTCTCTGTGGAGTCTGGTCTCCAAGATGTCCCCAGAAAAACTACAGCGGCTCTATGTTGACTTTCCTCAGCACCTGAGGCATCTCTTAGGTGACTGGCTTGAGGACCAGCCATGGTGAGTTCTGCTGCCCATGTCCCTTCTTCCCCATTTTCCCTCCCTTTATATCCCCCCACCCCATGGGATTTGGAACTTGAGACCCATTACTTTACTTGTGGTGGCCTAGACTGAGCAGAGACTGACTATGCATGTAGGCTCCCAGACACTCTACCTCTCAGGAATCTGAGTCGAAGAAGAGGGAGGTCAGCACTGGGACAGAGGCATTTCTCACAGCAGCTGAAAGACTGAGGAGTGAGGGACATGAGTGACAGCTGTAGAGGACCCAGATGGTGAATGAGGAGAGGGAAGCAGGCTGGAGGATCAGGAGAGCTGAGGAAGCTCTGGCTTGAGGCCACCCCATCCTGATCTTCCCACAGGGAGTTCCTGGTCAGCTCAGATGCCTTCTGTTGCAACGTGGCAAGTGCCCTACTTTCAGCCACTGTCCAGCGCCTTCAGGCTTCTGCAGGAGAGCAGGGAGAGGGAAACACCGTCTTGCAACACATCAGCACCCTGGAGGTGGGGCAGGAGGGGAAGGGACCAGGAGAGGTGGGGATGAGGAGGAGCTGGGGTGAGCATGGGATGCTGGAAGAAAATTTGTTGGATGGTGAAGAATATTGGAAGCAAAAAGTGTTTCTGTGGTTAGCTGCTAGCTAGCATACAAATTAGATTGTAAAAGCATGCAAATGCCTAAAATTTGTGAAATCTACAGTTGTGTTGCCTTTCAGTGTTTGTGTGGATAGGAGCTTGGGGATGGGGTAGGGGGTGACATGTAACTGCCCACTGCTGTCATTTCCATAGAGCATATACCAGAGGGACCCCCTGAAGCTTGTGGCTACTTTCAGACAAATACTTCAAGGAGAAAAAAAAGCTGTTATGGAGCAGGTATCGTGATACCCCACTTCCCACCCTAATGTAACTCCTTGGGACTTTAGATTGATCCATAAGAAACTAGAAAGAATATGAAACTCAGAAAAGGCTCAGTGTCGCAGGCCTAGGATGACCAAAGGAAGTCCCTGGCATCAGAGTGAACCCCAAGCAAGTTCAGGGAAGCTTCAGATGAAAGACAGAATAATGAGGCCTGGGAAGAACAGAGCAAGGGATAAGAAGCTAATTCTTCTAGGAGAAAGGTCTTATTCCTAGAGGATTCCAAAAAGGCCAGAGAGAACAGCCAAAGGGAGAAGAGAGCCTATCTCCTTTTCTGCAGAGCAGAGAGTGAAGGCCAGCAGGGAAAGATGCGCACAGTGTTTCACCTCTTGACACCTGTCCCTCCTGTGCAGTTCCACCACCTGCCAATGCCCTTCCACTGGAAGCAAGAAGAACTCAAGTTTAACACAGCCCTGCAGAGGCTGCAGCACCGAGTTGGGGAGATCCGCCTTCTCCAAGAAGCCCTGCATCAGGGGACTGAAGCTGGACAAGGTGCACGCCTTGCCTGGAGCCCTAAGATGGTTCAGGGGAGTGTGTGGGAGGGATTTCCTTTAGATCTCGGCCTTGCCTAAACTTCCGTTCTCTCTACATACCTGATTTCTGACTCCACCCTTAGTGTCTCTGCACAGCTTGATAGATACTCCTGCCAATGGGACTGGGCCAAATGAGGTAAGTAATGGACTATGAGATGGAGACAGAGCTCAAAGTGCAGCTGGAAGAATTGGAAGTTAGACCTCAGAGAGACACAGGCAGAAAAGGGAATGGCAGGGAAATAAGAAGAGTCCTATTCTGGGAGCTGGGTGAGGAGGCAGTTTGTGACCCTGGCTCAGGCCCCTCCCTGCCCTTAGGCCCTGGGCACGCTGCTGCAGGAGACCATTAGGGAGCTGGAGATGGCTCAGACCCTAGTGCTGAAGAGGATCCAGATTTGGAAACGGCAGCAGCAGCTGGCAGGGAATGGTGCACCCTTTGAGGAGAGCCTGGCCACGCTACAGGAAAGGTTAGCTGATGGGAAAAGAGAGGGTGCTGAGGGTGGGCACCTGCTGTCCCTACTGGAGGATGCACAGGTGTGAGAGAGAAGAAGCCAGGTTGGAGGGCCTTGGAATGGGCCAAGATTCAGAGAAGCCAGTTCCAGCAGGGATGTGCCAGTTGTTCAGGTTGTATCTGTACAAATGTGCTCAGTCCAGGGGTCACAAGTAGGGGCTCATGCAACTTGTGCTTCTGTCTTCAAGCCCCTTGCTTGGGGGAACGAGGGACCTTATTCTATTTGGTCTGGTGCGTAGGGCATTTTCCAATTTTCCCTTCAGCACTAGTTATGCTGGCAGCTGTCCAGGTTACCAGGGCCCTGGGGAACAGGCAGCCTACTTTCCACAGAGAGTCTAGGAACTGAGAATGAACCTCCCATACAAAGCAGGTCCCCGAACCCTCTTCAGCTCAGGTGCCTTGCATCCACACCACTGCCCACCCCATTCCTGCACACACAATAGCCCACTTTCTCCCTGGATTTAGAGAAAAGGGGTTTGGGTCGGAGCAGACATCTAGCCTGTATCCTGTGCCCCCTGACCGCCGTCCTGGCCCCAGGTGTGAGAGCCTGGTGGACATTTATTCCCAGCTACAGCAGGAGGTAGGGGCAGCTGGTGGAGAGCTTGAACACAAGACCCAGGCAGCGCTGATTCACCGGCTGGATGAAGTCCTGCAGAGCCTCGTCACCAGGTATGCCCCGTGACCCCTAGCCTGGCCTGGAGCAGGTCCTGAAGGAGTGGGTTACAGCTGTGAGGAGAGCACCAGGACGGACCCAGCCCCTGACTTCCACTGTGTCCTCCTCGCCTCTCCCAGCTCTTTCCTGGTGGAGAAGCAGCCCCCTCAGGTTCTGAAGACTCAGACTAAGTTCCAAGCAGGAGTTCGGTTTTTGCTGGGCCTGCGATTCCTGGGTGCTCCAGCCAAGCCTCCGCTGGTCAGGGCTGACATGGTGACTGAGAAGCAGGCGAGGGAGCTGAGCATGCCCCAGGGGCCTGGGGCTGGAACGTAAGCTGAGGCTGGACTGGGGACTGGAGAAGGCTTATTGGGGTGGCGAAGCCAAGAGGAGCCAGGGGGTGCTTGGCATCATAAAAACTAGAATGTGGAAGGAACCCAGGGAGTGTGAAGACCCTGGATGGTCAAAGCAGAGGCAAAGAAGGGACGCATTCGATCTGCAATAGGGCAGAGGCATCAGGATATGGCCAAATAAGGATCTTCCCTTAAGAATCTAAGCAGGTGGGCCAGGTGTAGTGGTACATACCTGTAATCCCAGCACTCAGGAGGCTGAGGCAAGAGGATCACCATGAGTTTGAGGCCAGCCTGGGATACATAGTAAGTCCAATGCCAGGCTTTAACTAGATAGTGAGACCCTGTCTCAAAAAACAAAACAAACAAAAAAATAAACAAACAAAGAATCCAAGTGGGTGGGCATATCTGTAATCTCAGTACATGGGAAGTTGAGGCAGAAGGATCATGAGTTTGAAGGCAGGCCAGCTTGGACTATACAGTGAGACTGTCTCAAAAACAAACAACTGCTGGGGATTTAGCTCAGTGGTGCCGCAGCCTGCTTTGCAAGTGCAAGGTCCCAAGTTCAATCCCCAGTGCCAAAATAAAATAAAATATTTTGGGGCTGGGGATTTAGCTAAGTGGTTCTGCTGCCTGCCTCGAAATCACAAGGTCCTGAGTTCGATCTCTGGTACCAAAAAAAAAATCAAACCAAAAACAAAACAAAAAAACAACCAAAGAACAAGAAGAACCCCAAGCAGGGAGCTAGGGGCTGGGGAAGTCGTTTAGTGGTAGAGCACACCCTTAGCATCTGTGAGAACCTGAGTTCAATCCTCAGCACTAAAAACAAAAATTAAAAAAAAAAAACACCCCAGGGTCCCGGTGATTTAGCTCAGTGGTTCTGCCACCTGCCTCAAAAGCACAAGGTCCTGAGTTCGATCTCCAGTACCGAAAAAAAAAATCAAACTGGGACATAGAGATATAGGGCTAGGGACAATGGGGAGTCACACAATCCCCTCATGGACTGAAGCTCCTCACCAACCTGGCCCAGCTGAGAGGAGCTCCTTCACACTCTGACCCCTGGCAGAGAGAGCACCGGGGAGATCATCAACAACACAGTGCCTCTGGAGAACAGCATTCCTGGGAACTGCTGCTCTGCCCTCTTCAAGAACCTGGTGAGGGGCCCTTGGATGCAAGGGCAGAGAGAGAGGAGGCTGGGGTCCTTTGGGAGGGATGTTCTTGGGGTCCTGGGGAAACAATTTCTGCACTTACATCCTCACCCTTGCTCTGCCTCCCCCACCCCCACCCCAGCTCCTAAAGAAAATCAAGCGGTGTGAGCGGAAGGGCACTGAATCTGTCACCGAGGAGAAGTGTGCGGTTCTCTTCTCCACCAGCTTCATGCTCGGTCCCAACAAACTCCCTATCCAGCTCCAGGTGAGCCTTGGCCTCCGCCCCAGCTCGGTATGGGACCCCAAGTCTCCCTTATCCAAGCCACACACTGGGGCCCCTCCTAATTGCCCTGTACCTCGTGAGTCTGGGATTGTGCACACTACAGTCAAGGTGAGTGGGGGGCGCAAGATTATGGAGTCTTCATCCCAGGAAGAGTGTATAGCAACTAACTCTTACCAAGTACTTTTTAAAAAATTAAGTTTATTGGTACATTTTAGGTATACGATACAGTTACATTCATCATTGGGATCTTGTACCTTTACATGATGTATCTTGGTTCTTATTTTTTCCCCATTCCCCTATTATCAAGCACTTTTTACACAGCAGGGAACTGTTTACACACACACACACACACACACACACACACACACACACACACTTGATTTTCCAGTAACATTAAAGAGTAGGTACTACACAGTAAGTCCCTGACTTATGAACATTCGAGTTGCAAACTTTCACAGATATGAACAGACCTCACATTTGGTTTTTATATGCTTTACATTGTATATTGTGTCAAAGGTATATAAGACTCATTGGGTTGGACTTACACACAAATCCAACTTACAAACATTCTTCCGGAACAGAACTTGTTTGTAAGTCAGGGACTTACTGTACTGTATTACTACCCTCATTTTACAGATAAGGACATTGGGACACAGAGATTTAGTAGTTTGTCCAGGTAACACATCTACTAAGAGTTGGGGCTGGTATTTGAGCCCAGAAGTCTGGCTCCACAGCATTCACTCATAGCCACTTCTCTATGTTAAAGCTCTCATTGAGCTTCAGAAAGCATTTAGTCACATGCCACGAGCTCTTTAACTCTGTTGAATGAGTCTCTTGCAAGCGCCCTCCCTAGGACACCTCTTGCTCCACTAATGAGAACACTCACTTCTTCAGGCCCTGTCTCTGCCCCTGGTGGTCATTGTCCATGGCAACCAAGACAACAATGCCAAAGCCACTATCCTCTGGGACAATGCATTCTCTGAAATGGTAAGGAAAGACCCAGAATGAGGAACAGGGTATAGGGTTGGTTCTAACATGAGGATGTGCTAGCTGGTGGGGGACAATCATATTCAAATGTGTGTGACTTTAGCTCCTTCTCCTGGGTCCAGTTTCATGCTTCTGACCTCTTTTCATCCCAGTCTTAACAGCTGTCATGCTATAGTACCAGAGGCTACTATAGCGAAAGCACCCTGTTTGTGAGCCAGCTCAGGAGACAGTGCTGGGATGGGCAGGTCAGCAAGATGGGAAGGATGAAGTTGGCTGAGGAAGCCTGGTAGTGATAGTCTGAGGGGCTCTCTCCTCCCCCCAGGATCGTGTGCCCTTTGTGGTGGTTGAGCGGGTGCCTTGGGAGAAGATGTGTGAAACTCTGAATCTCAAGTTCATGGCTGAGGTGGGGACCAACCGGGGACTGCTCCCAGAGCACTTCCTCTTCCTGGCCCAGAAGATCTTCAATGACAACAGCCTTAGCATGGAGACCTTCCAGCACCGTTGTGTGTCCTGGTCACAGTTTAACAAGGTTACGCCTCTTCACTTTGGACCTCCCACCCTCAAGCTCTTCATCCTCAGGGCATTCAAAGCCTCCCCGGCCTTACACAGGAACAGACCACTGAGATTTTCACAGAGGCCTGTCATGCCCATCAAGAAGGCCTTTGTCATGGCCCGAGCAGGAAAATCCCTGTACTTTGGGGGTCACCCCAGAGGTTGTATTCTTTGGTGACCCTTAGGTTTTGGTCTGGGGTCCTTTATCCTTCCCCTACCAGTAACTTGCATGACTCATCCAGATGGTTTGTAAACAGAGCTTGCTTTAAAAAACTGATCTTGACCCATTAGAAAATAGTTCCTATTGCAGAAACTGGTAAAGCCCACAGGTATTTGTGCTGTGATACTGCTACCATGTGCTGACAGCTTACTATATGCAGGCACAGTGTTTCACATTTTATGGATGTTATCTCAATCCTCCCAACCTTCCTTTGAGGTAGATACTATTTTAATCTCCATTTGACAGATGAGGAACCTATGGTTAGATGAGTTAAGTAGTTTGTCCAAGGTTTCATTACAGGTAAGTGGCATGGCTACGATGGAATCCCTTACCTGACTCTTGCTTTTTCTTTTTCCCTTCTGTGCTGGGATTGAACCCAGGGCCTTGTGCCTGCTAAACAAGTGCTGTACCACTGAGCTACATCTGCCTCCTTTTTTGTTTATTTTGAGACAGAGTATCACTAACTTGCCAAGTCTGGCCTCAAAGTTGTGATTCTCCTGCTTCAGTCTCCCAAGTAACTAGAATTACATCATGGTGCCTTGCCTGACTCTATTGTATTTTACTGTCTTCAAAATGAGGTGCTTCAAAATGAGGATTGAGTCAGTTACAAGAACATGAGAAGGGGGCCAGGGATGTAGCTCAGTGGCACTTCACCTGCCTTGTAAGTGCAAGGTCCTGAGTTTGATCCCTGGTACCGGAAAAAAAAAAAAAGAACATGAGAAGGAGTTCTAGTATCTTGGTTGACACCCAGCTGGGTAAACAGAGCCATGTATTCCACTCTTAAAAAAAAAGGAAGAAGGAGAAATCCATGTGACCAGAGGATGTGTTAGCAAAAGGAGCAGGACAATTACAGCTGGGAAGTCAATTTCCTCTGAATTCATTTCTGCCAGGCCTCATTAGAGACGAGGTTAGCATGCACAGTGGTTGTGAGGGTCTCCAGTACCACATTGCCTGGGCTTACATTCCAGCTCTGCCTCTCACCAGCTTTTTGAACTTGGACAAGTCATTTGACCTTAATCAATTTCTATAAGATAGAATTATGGGGGCCAGAGATTTAGCTCAGTGGTTCTGTCACCTGCCTTGCAAGCGCAAGGACCCAAGTTTGATCCCCGGTGCTGAAAAAAAAAAAAAAAAGAATTATGATAGTACCTTCCTCCATAGCCTTGTAAAGATCAAATAATACATAGAAAGGTTTGGAATAGCGCCTGGCACATGCGGTGAGTGTCAGCCCTGTGAGTCTGATTAGGGGGTGGCACAGCCCAGTGGTTGCCCTAACCAGGTCCCAGCTCTACTCACCCTGCTCACCCCAGGTCTCCCAACTACCCCTTAGGAGATCCTGCTGGGCCGGGGCTTCACCTTTTGGCAGTGGTTCGATGGTGTCCTAGACCTCACCAAACGCTGTCTCCGGAGCTACTGGTCAGACCGGTGAGTCCCTCCCTGCCCCAGGTGGATTGAGCAACTGAACCTCTGGCTCCTTGTCCACACTCAGTGCCCACACCCTGTCCTTTTCATCCTGGCCAGGCTGATCATCGGCTTCATTAGCAAACAGTATGTCACTAACCTCCTTCTCAATGAGCCCGATGGAACCTTCCTGCTCCGCTTCAGTGACTCTGAGATTGGAGGCATCACCATTGCTCATGTCATCAGGGGACAGGATGGTGAGGCCACCTCAGCCAGTCTTTTGCCTCAGTGCCTCTATTCTCTCAAGTTTCTTCTGGGAAGGAAATGTTCTGGCCTTCCTTTTTGCCAACTTGGTCTTCAGGAAGTTCTTCCTTAGGTCCAACTTCTCTACTTCCATTTTCTAAATTCCATCTCTCACTGAGCTCATGGCAGTGAAGACTAGTGAGTCTCCCTCTCTCAATAGCCCACCTTTCAGTCTGTTCTCTCTTGCCTTGGTGGATTGAAAATGGGGCTTGTTGTATGCTGGGAAGGGGAGGTCTAGACAGAAGAGACCCAGGGTCTTGTTCCTTTCATAGGTTCACCACAGATAGAGAACATCCAGCCATTCTCTGCCAAAGACTTGTCCATTCGTTCACTGGGGGACAGAATACGGGATCTTGCTCAGCTCAAAAACCTCTACCCCAAGAAACCCAAAGATGAGGCTTTCCGGAGTCACTATAAGCGTGAGCTAGTGCTGGAAGCTCTGATTCCTTCCTGTTGCGCACCTCTACCCAGCTCCCTGCCACACCCTTCTCCCTGCCTGCCTGCTGTGTGTCATCCCTGACTTCCCTTCCCAATTTTTTTTTTTTGGTACTGGGGATCGAACTTGGGACTTTGCGCTTGCGCAGCAGGTGGTGGAACCACTGAGCTAAATCCCCGACCCTCCCTCCCCATTTTTGTAACTCCTCTGCTACCTGCCCATCAGCCCTTCCTCCAACCTTTCTAGCTCCCTTCCTTCCTAACCTAGAGCACTTCATGGCTATCCCTTCCTTCTTTCCCACAATAGCTGAACAGATGGGTAAGGATGGCAGGGGTTATGTCCCAGCTACTATCAAGATGACTGTAGAAAGGTGAGTGTGGTGGTGTGGATGGCAAGTGGGGTCTGGGGGCTGGTGCTTACATACAGAAAGGAGTGGCAGCCTCAGTTCTGCCTGTAATCCTTTGTTACATGTGCTTCTTTCTCTTCTCCAGGGACCAGCCCCTTCCCACCCCAGAGCCCCAGATGCCTACCATGATGCCCTCTTATGATCTTGGAATGACCCCTGATCCCTCCGTGAGCATGCAGCTCAGCCAAGACAGGATGTGAGGAAGGACAGGAACCAGAGTGGTCTGTGCAGACAGGCCTTTGGGATGGGCATCTGGGAGAGCTGGTGTTGAGGGCCAAAGCAGGGAATTTTCTTTTCTGTGAAAGGGATTCCCGTTCCCAAGGTTTGGTGCCCAGGGGAACAGATGACATGAAGGTGTCTACTTTCTTTCCCCAGGCCCCCGTTGTACCCTCAACATTCTCATCCCATCCCACCGTATCAAGGCCTCCCCCAAGAAGAGTCGGTCAATGTGCTACCAGCCTTCCAGGAGTAAGTCAGAACTTTGGGGGTTGGAGTGGGGACAGCATTTTACTGCAAGGTGGGGTACTGACATCTGCTAGGAAAGGCTCTTCTGTGGGAAGAGGCAGCATGTGTTAATGCCGTTTCTTCTTCTCTGTAGTAGGGGGTAAGAGCCAGGTTTCATGGGTTCAAATTCCAGCTCTGCTACTTGCTGACTTTGGGCATATTATTTAACTTCTGATGGCTCATCTGTAAAATGAGGCATAATAATACTAACAATACCTACCTCGTGGGATTATTGTGAAGGGTAAATGAGTTCATAATATTGTTGGGCCTTTATTCCCAGGACTCTGGGAGGCTGAGGTGGGAGGATCACAAGTTTTGAGCCCAGCCTGGCAACTTAGCTTGTGGGACCTTGTCTCAAAAAAGTGGGGTTGGGGGTAGGTATACCACTCAGTGTAAAGGGCTTAAGTTCAATTTCCATTACTGCCCCCAAAAATATTCATAGTATGTCTAGAGCTAAGCACCATGCCTGGATCATAGCAAGAGCTATATTACTATTTTCTGTCCTATCTCTGAAGTCCACTGTCACTTATCTGCTATGTCATTTATTTACTTCTTCATTGCTGTTCTGGGGATTAAATTCAGGGACTTATACATGCCAACCACTGGCTCCATCTCTGACAGGAAACCCCAGCTGCTGGGGTTTTTTGTGTGTTTTATGGCAGGAATCAAACTCAGGACCTTGTGCTTGCCAGGCACTGAGCTAAATCCCCAGCTGCTGTGTTGATTTCTGTTTTGGCCCAGACATTTTTCTTTCCCAAGTAACACTTATAAACTCTTAGTCGAGGCACAGCATCTGCCTTCCCAGAAGCTGGGGTAGAGATGAGGACTGGGGATATTACAGATACAGAAGTTCAGAGTCCAAAGAAACACGATATGGCTAATCCATCCTCCCCCACCCTCATTTTATGGGTGAGATGACTATGCCCAGAGTACAGAAATGGCCTGCCCAATGCCATGCGGTCCAAGAACAGCTAAGTCAGGACAGGGTGCTGCAGCCCGAGTCCTCACTCAGGGGACTTGACTGTAATGCCCTGGCTTTGCTCAGGCTTCACTCCTTTGATTGTTTCCTCCTTCCTACTTCCAGGCCTCACCTGCAGATGCCCCCACCGCTGAGCCAGATAAGTCTGCCCTTTGACCAGCCTCACCCACAGTGAGTGAAAACCCCTCCTAACCCCTGATTCCCATTCTTTCCTGGCCTCACCCCCTCCCTCATTTCCTTTTCTGGTCACGGGCAGGGGCCTGCTGCCGTGTCAGCCTCAGGAGCATGCTGTAGACGTGACCATGGATGAAGACAGCTGCCTAAACCAGCCAGTGGGAAGGTACCACCAGGGCACTTGGTGAGTGTCGGCCTTGGAGTGGAAGCCAGCTGGGAGCTGGGGGAGTGGGTGCTGTGCATACTTCACTGCTTCTCCTCTTTCTCCTTGAAGGGTTGATGAAGACATGTTCCCTGCCCTGCTGCCTCCCACTGAACAGGACCTCACCAAGCTTCTCCTAGAAGGCCAAGGGGAGGCAGGGGGAGGGACCTTGGGAGTCCAGCCTCTCCTGCAGCCTTCCCCCTATGGGCACTCTGGGATCTCAATGTCCCACCGGGACCTAAGAGCCAACCCCAGTTGGTGATGAGGGTGAACCCAGTGACAACTCTCCTGTCTCTGTGGATCTGCTCCTGATATCTGCTCAGACGTGCCTGCCATCTCCAGTTGCTCCAGGAGGGAAAGACTGCCAGGGGAATATATGGTGGGGACAGCCATTCCTCACCTTTCTTCCTTCCTACCACACACCACTGTTCCCTCTCGTCCACCACTGGAAGAAGCCCAGGCTCGACAATGAGATATACCCTAACATGCCTACTCCTGCAACACACACGCAACACTGCTCCCCATGGAGGCTGAGGCTGACAGAAGGGTGGCTAGGGAAGAGCACAGGTTAGGGGATGGAGGGCTTCTCCACTCACTCAGAGCCAGAGCCAGAGCCTGTGACATACATGTAGACAGGTACACACATTTGCACTAGAAACCAGGGACGAGGCAGTGTGGACCTGGGTGCCAGCTCTGGAGACACAGGGAAGCAGTGTAGGGGAGCCTGTGTGAGGAGTCTGGACACATGGTTACTGATAAGGATTTTTCTTAGTAACAAAATGTAAACTCCCCCAGGCCTCAGATTCTTGTCAGATGTAGGCTTGGTATACAGGTGAGAACGTGTGGAAGTATAAGGGCCAAGCTTCTTTGTGTGCAGCTGGGTGGAAATGTGCATACTCAGACTTGTTGACATGTAGTGCTGACATGTTGTATGACTATACAGAACATGTATCTATGTGCCTTCACCTGTGTGACAACACAAATTGGAAAGCGAGACACTGCCTGATACACAGCAAGTATGGTAGCCTCTGACATATAACCCAAATGTCCTGTTCTGAATGTGACTGTACACAAGTGGGTCTATGTGGCAGGGACATCTACGTATGACTATGGTTTTGGTGGCTCCATACCCCCAATGTTACCCAGAGCCAGAGGGTGAAAGTGAAATCCAGGCTTCACTGTGTGGCCCCCCAGGGTGTTGGAGGCTCTGCCCACTGCTTCTCTTCTAGTTCCCCATCCACTGCCAGCTTCCCTCCACTCTCTCCACCCCATGCCACCCATTTTCCCTCTTGGCGCGGGGGTGGTGGTGGTCATGGATCCTAAGCCATAAAATAAATTTTATTCCAAAATAACAAAATAAATAATCTACTGTACACAATCTGAAAAGAAAGATGCTCTAAGTGCTCGGACAGGTGCTGTGGTCCGGCCCCACCTTGGGAGACCCTGTATCCAACCCAGGCCTCTCGGGCTGGCAAGAGACCCCCTCCTATCCACCTCCCTCAGTGGGCAGGAGGAAAGAATTGCTGAGGACTTGGGGTAAAAAGGGGGATATGTGGGCAAACTGCAGCACTCATGAAATTAAAGAAACAAACTAGAAACACAAAAACGGGGACAGGGAGGGGAGGGAAGGTCCAGTGTTCCCAGGCCCCCATTTCTGGGGAGAGATGTTGCCATTTTTATCTGCTGGACCTTCCCAAGGAAGTCCCCCTTCCCCCATGTCCAAACTGAGTCTGACTGACCACACCACTGAGGCCACCTAGAGAGAATGGGAGTGCATTGAGGGAGGGGAGAACCCCAGCTGCCCTGAGGCAGAGTCCTTGCCCCTTGTTCTGGGCAGGGTGAGGGGGCACCACACACCCTTCTTGTGTCCTCTTGCCAGGCCCCTGCTCATTATTGCTTGAAGCCCCATAGTCCTGTGCCCATGGAGCAGGTGAGGACGCAGGAGAAGGGCAGTGGAAGGGTCAGGGTGATGACTAGATCTGGAGGATGGAGAGTGTGGGGAGTCTGTGTGAGCCAGAAGTCTGGTTCCTGGGTCTGAGAACACCGTTCACCCTCATTGCCTGCTGGCCTCAGCCTCTACTTTCACGCTGCTTCTTCGACCCTCCACCAACGCAGGATGGGGTCCTGGGGCTGGGCACCGGTCCAGTAGCCCTTCCTCAAACTCTGCAGGGAAAAGGCATAGTTAGGAAGGGGTGAGCAGAGGCTGTGGACAGAAGTGACCGAGAAGAGGCAGGGGCAGAGAAAGTTGGGAAGCCGAGCTCACTTTATTGAATTACTATCTCCTGCCCAATCCGAGTGTATGGGGGGCATCCCATACTCAAGTGTGTCCTGCACCCCCTGCCCTTCCTGGCCTTGTGTCGCTCTCTGTCTCTGTATGTGTTTCTCTTTCTCTGTCTCTGCCGCCTCTGCTCTGCTGGAATTTCTGGTTCTGTCAAGAGCCGCGGGGGTGGTTTGGCTCTGACCTCTCCCCCTCCCCCCTTCCTAGGCTCCTCCACCCCCACTCATCTCTGGCCCCCTCCCAGGACCTACTCACCCTGCCACTGCCCCTCACGTTTTTTGATAGCCAAATCAGGGGGAACACAGGAAGCCAGGCTCTGAGTTCCTCCCTCAAAAAGAGCCCCCCTTCCAGTCCCTGCCCCCACTTCCCACCCACACACAGTTTAAAAATACCAAGCCAGGGTTGGTGGCTTTGTCTGCTGCGTCACTCTCAGCCCAGTCGATGCCCAGCCCTCTGCTGGCCCACTCCCCCACCCACCCTCCACACACAAAGCATCCCTCTTTGGGCTCCTCAGGGCAACTCCAACCCTATCGCACCTAGCCTGCTTCACCCTTCTGCATTAGTGGGGTTCTAGCCAAGCGTCCCTTATTGGATGGTGAACCTTCCTTCCCACTCACCTGCATCTCCTCTCCTCTGTCCCCCTGCTATTCCACTTTCTTCTCCACAGACCTCCACCAGGACCAGATCCTCCCCAGCCAGAATGGCCCAGCAGGGTCCTTTTCTCTACCCACAGACTGGTTAACTGGAGCTCCTCCTACTGTCCTCTCTGGCAACTGTATCCTCTTCCTCCCACCCTGGTCCCAGGACACCAAGATTGCTATGTGGGGCCTGGGTGGACGGAGTGCTTGGGGACAGCACTACTGGCTGCCTCACCTGCGAGAGGTGGCTTCGCAGGCACACAGGGGCTGAGGCGGCCCACGCGGTCATGGGAGACGAGGCGGGCGAGCCGCAGCCCCTCGTCCATCAGGGTCTGCTGCAGGATGTGGCGGCTCCATAGCCCATGAGCTGGCAATGCCAGGGGCAGGTCAGCAGGGGGCGGCGTCAGCCTTGGGCATGAGCCCACAGCTGTGGGCATGGGCACTAGTCAGGTAAGGGGCTGCAGCCAACAGAACCCCACCCTCAACCGCACAGCCAGACCCATAGGTCCTTCTGCTCCCATCCAGCCAGGTCTCCCAGCCCTATTCCAGGCAGTGATTCCTGGCTTGCTCCTCCCACCCCCCACCCATCCACCCACCCCCACCTCCCCACAATGAAGAGGGAAGTGCTCTAATGCACACTCACCCTGCAAGTGTCCATCTAGACTCTCCCCAGACAGACTGGCACTGTCCTCCTCCAGGCTGGGGCGGTATGGAGGTGCATACAACTCAGGGCCAGGAGGAGGCTGCTGGATTTCAGGGTGACTCTGTTCTCCAACCTGTGGATGCCCAGAATGGGGGAATGAGGACTTGGCAAGGGAGGGAGTTGGGGGAGGATATCCCACCCCTGGAAAATATACCTCTTGTTTCAGCTTCTTGAGTGGGGGGCCTCCTAATTCTTCTGAGTGGAGCCTTCAAAGATGGAGAAAAACGATCATGAGACTGGAGAGGGTCACGTGATGGCCAAGGAACAGAATGTGGACAGGTGCATGGATTACTTTAAAACTCTGCCAAGAAGCCAGTTAGGTAGGAGTCTCCAGCCCAGTCACTTTATTGGGGGGTTGGGAGGACCTGAGATGGATGGGAGGAGGGACCAGATCTCAGACAAGTTCATTTGGCCAAAGGCAAAACACGAAGGTGGGTGGGAAGCAAGCCTAGAACTGCCTGAGCGGGAAGTTAGGACATGATCCAACTTCCTGGCAAGATTCCAATGTAGGAAGGAGCTAGGGAATGGGGGGTCTCACCTGGAGCCCTTCAGGGAAGACAGGTAGGTGCTCTCTCGAGCCACTTGCCGGGACAGGGAGAAGAGCTCCACCCTCCGAAGTAAGAGTGTGTTGTCCCTCATGCAGAACTGAGCAGCAGCTTCATTGATGGTCAGCTGAGGAGAGAGGACAGATAGAATCTTCATTCTTCCATTGTCTTATCTAGACCTTCTCACATCCCTTCACCATCAAAGGAAGCAGTCCACAGGAGGCTTGCCTTGTCTGGACAATACCCACGAACTTTCTGGGGGAGGAAGATAGAGGTCAGCACCCACAGCTTCCTAGGAATGCCCAGGGCCTCCTCCACTCTTGTGGGGTCCTTACTGACACAAAGCTGAACAGCTGGGCCCTTGCCTGTATCTCTGCTTCCCCCTCAGTTGAGGATGGAGGGACTGTGGCAGCTGGGTCTGATGCAAGGGTGGGGGTCAGGCTTAGGGTTCTCTGAAAGGGGTAATAAAACTTAGAGGAATGTAGGAGTTGTCAGAGGTGAGTGTATTGAAGCCTGGGAGTCAACAGCAGCACCAAGGGGACCTGGGTCCTCACCTCATGCAGGCTGAGCTGCTTGCCCTCCCGCCTTTTGGAGTCAAAGCGGCCATAGATGATGCTGTACTTTCGGATCTCCTCTTCCTTCTGGCTGTCATTATCATCCATCTCAAAGATGTGCCCCACGCTCCGTGCCAGCTTCTTATTCAGCTTCAGCAGAGATGTGACCTCCCCAGCATCGCCCCTTGGGAAACTTCGGAAGATCCTCTCCACGCTCTCCACCACCATTCGTACCATCTCTGGCTCTAGGCGGTCTGGACCACCCCCAGCTCCACCTGCTGCCATCCCCGCCGCCCCAGTCCCCTCAGGGACTCCTCCCCCTGCAGGTGGGGAGAAAGGGGGTGAACCAGCCTCTTCTTCTCCTCCCGCCCCAATGTCCGACTCTGGAGTGCTCCGGCCTGGCCAGATCCGGGGCTCCCCTGCCCCAGGACCCCCAGGTAGTGGTGACAGCTTCTCTCCGAGTTCAAGGGGGCTTTTGGGGCTGAAACTACGGGCACTGCCCGCTTTTTCCCCTGGGCTGCCATGCCCATTGCTCATACTCCCTTTCCGGGTACCGGCAGTCTCAGAGATCTTGAAGAGTGGGATGCTGGACACAGGGACAGCAGGCACTGGTTGGCTAAAGAGCCCTGGATTGGTAGCCCACTCTCTCAATGCCTTCTGCAGGCGTCGGACATGGAGAGGTTTTGTGGCCATGCCCACAAGTGCCATGATCTCCAGGAACTCCTCCTCACCAGCCTCGCAAAGCTGTTGCACGTCGTCACCTCCTTGCTGGATGAAGGTCTCGTAGTAGGAAAGGAGGTTGGCACGCTGCAGGACCCGATACAGCTGCAGCTCCCCCAGTGTCCGAGGCAGTGCCATGGCTCGGGCACTTGCCCTGAGAAGGAGGGGCACAACAGATAGGCAGTCAGTGCAAGTGCTCCTGCTGGGTTCCAGCCCACACTAACAACTGTTCTCTCTTTCTAGCCTCCTCATCTTCTCCTTCCTTTCAAGCTCTTTCTGCCCAGCTCCCAGGGCTGAGCAGAGACCAAGAAAATCAGGTGCTGCTTGGATGAACAGACATGCCAGTGCCATCTCAAACTGGCCAGAAGGAGTAAAAGACTTACCCTCATCTTCAGTTTAACCTTTCTTGTCTGAAGCAAGAATATCTTCAGCACAGGGGCCCCCAGCACAGCCCTCAGACGGCTGCCTCCTTATCCCCTAAAACACAGTCCTTACCTCCAACCCTAAACACCCTAGCAGTCTCAACACCACTTAATTAACTTGACGTCCCAAACTAAGGTGAATCCAGGACCCCCTTCTATTCAGTGGACACTGGGCATCATTGCCGGCCAGCTTCACTCCTCACCCAGGGGCTGAGTGGGAGGGGTGTGGCCCCTTCCTCAGCTTTCTGAACTCTGTGAGCCAGGCAGATCCCTGCTCCTCTCCCCTCCGCTTTCCCACTGATGGCTTTCTTAACGCACCCTTGCTCTGTTCGACCCAGGTTGCCCACCGACCCTCACTCGGGCCCTCCCCTGGTGTGGCCTTCCCCACTTGCTCAGGAGGCCAGTCCCTGCAGCTCAGGGGGCGGGGGAAGGGGAGGGGCACCTCAATTGTTCTGCTCTGGGGCCACTCCGCCCACACACTCCCACAGAGGTAGCGTCTGTGGGCGAAAACCACCTAGGGGCTCCCGCCTACTCTCTTCTCCCTTATTTTCCACCCACATCTTCGGGGGAGTTGGGGAGCAGCTCAAGGCCTCTTGAGAGCAGAGCGGTACACCGAAATTCCCCTCCCCACTCTGTGAACCAAAGGTCAGATACAGGAAAGGAAGCCTGCAGTATCCCCCCCCCCCCCCCCCC